GGAAGGAGATTAGAAAAAGATTGGCAAATGGGTAGAACTGTATTAAGGGTATTTTAGGTAAAAATAAGTAACTTTTCATGGTGAATATAATATGAATGGAATAAAGATAGGGAGATGGACAGAAATGAATATTTGGGATAATAGCAAACGAGGATAGACTTAATATGATTATTGAAAAGCAAAAAAAAACATTTATAATGGATGAAGCATATATATTTATGTTACTTAATATTAAGAGCTTTCATATATTTTTATAAAATATATAACCATCATAAATATATTTGAATTTGTTAATTTTTTTACTTAAAATGTAAATATAATTTAGAGGATAATTGCATTACTAATTCAATATAATGATAATTTTTTACACTATTCCCATTTTCAAGAAAATATATTTATAATTTAGTTTACTCAATTTATTTCAAATTATAATTAATTGAGATATATTCCATGGTTTATGATTTTACAATTTTAAAATCAACACAGTCATAAAAAACTTAACTTTATCTATTTCATTAGATTATCATTGCTTTTTAATCTTTTGCTCCAATGTTCTAACTTTTGATATGGATTTATACTATTTTTTCTTTTAATTTAGTTTTTATAGCATCTCTATTTTATCTTTACTTAGTTGCTTAATTATATTCTAGAGTTGCTGACTATTCTAAAGCACCATCATTGCATAATCCTATTTAATTTTATTTAAAAAATAATCCATTAAATTCAATTATGATGCTAGTAAATTAATTTTTCAACTGTATAATTTCCTATTAATTAAGCCCTTTTAAAAGTATATTTTATTTTTTAGAACCAATTTATTTTAATCATCCATAAGTATCATTATAAAAGTTTTGATGTTGTAATTAAAAAATTTATAATTTATGAGATCCTTACAAATTATATTGTGTGATAAGAGTATTGAAAAAAATTTTTACAACTGCAATATAATAAACTAAAATTAATAACCAATTGCTGTAGCAAGCATTGTAACTATCAACTATTCCACAATATCTTGATTTTTAATTGTTGAAATTGAAGAGAAAAATAATTATTGAGTATATAGGCATATAGTGTTTTTACCATTATGCTTATGAATTATTTCAGTTTATAAATTTTAAAACCTTAATGTCCACCAATAAAATCTATTTATAAATGATTAATTAAATATGTGTTTATAAATTAATATAGATTAATAATTTTCAATTTTCAACTAAATCTATTTGAGTCATATAATTAATTAATTAATTTATTAGACATATGGTAGTTTTATGTAAATCAAATGTTATTAGATTTAGTTATGTAAGATTACTACTAATTTAATTTAATCTAACCTAAACTTTAATAAGTATATCCACCAAATCATATAACAAACATTGTAAATTTGCAGTAATTCCAATACTTTATTTATTTTAAAAATGTTTGTGATCTGTAAAGGTTTGACAATACCATTAAAGACGACACAATGGCATTTCAGATTAATCCATAAGAGTGATACATATAACAATAGAGGTGAAATATTATATCTTATTACTAGGAAGGGCTTATTCTGAATTATAAAGGTATGACAATGCGATTAATCACTATAAAATAGCATTAAAAATTTATCCATTTGCTATTGAATAGAAAAATAGGGGTAAAATATTATATCTTATTGTTAATTTCTACTAAATAATCAAGGCATTTATTGAAGTTAATAAAAATTTAGCCAATAGATAATTGCATAAACGCCAGAATAAAGATTAATAGTATAATTATTAATTGGCATTTTTTGGTTATCTTAAATATTTAGTTCATATTAAATGACAAAGGATTATTATTCTTTTAATTGATCAATATCACTTAATTATTTTTTTTTAATTATTCTCTAATTTTAGATATTGTTATGTGAATTTATTGAGTTTCTATCATATATCCTTAAGATATGCATTTTTATTATGTAAGATAATCATTATGTTTTTAAATTTTATTAGCTCTTAGGTCATGGTAGTTATTAGTTTGATCTAATTATTTGTAAAAGTTAAATTATCTTTTTGAAACGTTTAATCTTAGTAATTCTATTGGTGCGAGCTTTTCTAAAAGTTCTTGAGCCTTAAATAAATAGCGTCTAGATTTAGGAAACTATTTTATAGTATATTTAAATTCTAAGTTAGAATGATATTGCAATATCGTAGTCATAAATTGCATCGTCGTACCTTTACAAATCAGAATAAGCACTTCCAAAAAATATGAAAAACTATTTTACCTCTATTGTTATATGCATCACCATGTTATGGATTAATCATTAATGCCATTGTGTAGTCATTAATTACATTGTCATACCTTTCAATTCAGATATGCATTTCCTAATAAATAGATATAATATTTTACCACTATTTTTATATGCAATAGCATATTATGGATAAATCTTTAATGTTATTGTGTGGTCATTAATGCCTTATTTACCAAATTCATTTCCTAATGATATTTTTACATATATATACCTTTACTAAAATACCATTGACTATCTTAATTTGATTGTCTCATATCCTATTTGAATTTTTAAACATTTTTCTATTAATAATAAAAATAATATCCAACAATATATAAATCATAACTACACATTAAATTAAGTACATCATATAAATTATGACCAGTTACAATATTAATATGTATTTAATATTAAAATTTAACATATACTTCTAAATAATTAAAATTTGAATCATCTCTAACTGATGAAAGAGAAATAAGTATTTTAGTCTAATCAGTTGTAATATTTACATATCCATTCTAATAATTCCATAAAGATCCTAATAGCATTCCGAAAATTAGTCAAGAGTAATAATACCAATAATGATTTTGAATATGGAAGTATTAAATTACTAACTATAAATTCCATATCTATCCAAATTGAAACCATATTACTTTTCCTGCTTGTAAAGTCTTTTCTACGCCAATGTCCTTCCAATTTAATGTATAGATACTAATCGTATCTAGTATATTGATTTGAAGTATTAATATATAAAATAAATATCAAGGAGATAAACAATACATAGAAATTTTGTCATTTTATTTTAATCTGCAAAGTCTGACATTTTGTTGGGTAAAGATAAATGCATCTTAAAGCCTAACTAAACTAAAGGCCGCCTTTAATTCAGCTCCGTCTACATCTAAAACTACTGCATCATAAGTGTGATCTATAACTGTTTATATGCCTGTCAAAAGTCCCTTTTATCATTAATTTTAATAATGCTTGAGATGGTATTTTTTTCTGGTTTATTATTGGCAATTATTGCAAATCGATTCATGAGTTCCATTTCCTATTGCCTAAATAATACCTACTGTAAACATAGAATTAAAAAGATATTTTAATTATTTTATGCTTTAGAAATCTTATTTTGAAGGAGTTGGAGTTGGATTCCCTCTAACATAGAATATTAGATATTAACTGCCCAAAACTAGGGTTGATGATACCTTAAACGTCAAAGTTAGTATTGTCTATACAAAGTATCCTTTTGGCTATTAGTCAATTAAATTCATTCATTTTCTATCAAAGTCTTTCAGATTTTCATGATAATTTAAAATATCATTATTAAAATTAATAATTAGCTTTTTAATTAGTATTAAAAAAATTAGAAGGAATAATTAATAACACAACACAACATATCAATTGATAAAGAATATGCTGAAACGGCCTTATTATTCAACTTAATGCTTTTTCATAAATTAAATGACAATCTTTGGGATCTTTCTTAAGTACACCTAATAAAAAAGCTTAGGTCCTTTGACTCCTCCTCATACAGACTCATTTCATGAAATTAAACATTATGACAATCATTGACATAATCATAAATAATTTAGGTATTCATAAAATATTATTTCATTTGTGTAGAAAGGATGAAATTCATTAGTGTGACTTTAAATCAAGTAATTTATTTGATATATTGGGAAAAGAAGATGATATTAATAAAGTCTTATTTCTAAGGTCCTTATCGAAATAGATAATATTTTATATATGAATAATTCTATGTTATTTATTGTAAGTTCTTGGAATTAGATGATGATCATGATTTCTATATTAGCAAGAGAGATGTTTCTTATTTTTCCTTCCAGCCATTATTTAAGTCATAAATTAATTGATAGAATATTCGATTAGTTTCCTCATAGATTCAAGTTAAATAGATTAAAAGATGTCCTATGAATTTATTTCATTTTATATGAAGAAGGAAAGACTACTATATGATCTATAGAATATTGGCTTAAAGTTTTAGCAATTGAAAAATTAAGAAAAGAAAATCTATTTAAGCTTTTGGCTAAAGAATAGAAACCAGTTGATAGGACTGCTGTACCTTAAGTTATTTTGGCTGAGGCAAAACTATAAAATACAATTATAAAACCCAGAAATTTTTATGCATAACCTATACCTAGCAATTTTCAATAAATTCAATGAGACCTTATTAATTTAGTATTCAGTTATTTATTTTAAAGATTATGAAGAAAAAAATTAAAGAAAAAGCATCTCTTAGAGGACAGTATAAATTTTTTATTTGTTATACTTTGTTATACTTATTTTAAATTAAAATTAGAAATCTGTATTGTAATGATTAAAGAACAAATTGCTTGTTTTGAGTATTTTATTTATTTTAAATTTAAAACTATTATTCTCTTTGATAAATTCAACAATATATTGTTGTTAATTTAATGATGATATTTATAATTTGATTTAAAAAGAATATTATTCATTAGATATTCATGTATTTACGTATTTAAATGAATGATGACTTTTTATCCCATGTAATTAAGTAATTACCGTCTAAACTCATATAACCATAAATGCATTCATTGGCTAACAAGTCAATAGACATCTCTGTAACGAATTCATTATTTTCTTACTTTCTAATTAAGTTTATGCATGAGCCATTCTTATTAACGAGCAGGTTTTTTGATTTTCTATATTATTATGGAAATAAACAATCGCAACTTGTTCCTCCTTTAACACCAACGCTTTTAGTTTTTAAAAACTAATTTGTAATATCCAATTCATAAATATCCATAAAATTTTCACCCCATTATTAAAATGTAAATAAATTATCGCTAATTAAACATAACCTATATCCTTCTTTTTTGACATCGATTTTTTGAACTATATTCCATTATTTTATATCCTTATTATTTTGTTATACCATAACAAATATTTATTTATCCTTACTACAAGAGATTAGTTTATCGCCTTTTTCATTTAAACTTAAACTAAAAACAATACTATCATGATCAGTTATTGTTTAAGTACATAGCCATCCATTTTTCTCTCTCCAAAATTTAATTTTCTTATCTTCACTAGAAGAAATTATACAATTTTATTTATTATTTATAGTTAAGCCCAGGATAACTTATTAATGAGCTTAGATTTTCCAAATGAACTTCTAAGAATAAATCCGATTCATTGACCAAAATTTTATAGATCCGTCCCAATCAGAGGATATTGTTTAATTCTTATAAAATTCTAAAATGGTAATTCTGTTATTGTGTCCATTAATAAAATTAACTTATTTCATAATCTCTTTTTTGAATTAAAATACTTTAATCATATTCCAACATGATGCTTGAATATAAGAATTCTCATTTGACATTGCAATTGCTGTACAATATTATTAAACTTTGACTTACTCAATTAGCTGATACGTAAATTAATCTTAGTACAACTATATCATTTGAAAAAAATCTATTTTAACTATTTAATGAACAGAAGAGAACTTTAAGATACACCATATCGAAAAAATGTAAATTCCTTTTTAATAAAAAATTACACATTCAGATTTAATTTTCTAATTTTATCAATTGAAATTTTGTACAAATATAAAATTTTGTAGATCAATACAATTTCGTTAGATTTTTTGAATTCTCCAAAAATCTATCAAAATAGTCGTTTGATCTTACTTTTTAAACAACTCTCTACTTATTAGAATTGGAAAGTATATAGGATTTAATAATCTCTAAGAACTAGAAATAGATTATTTTAATGGTGTCTAGCTTAATTAATAGGTAAGATTTCGATATATTTTGTTTTGAAACAAACATAAAAAAAATCGAAAATATGTATAAGAGAGTTTAAATTAGTTTCTAATGTATTCAAGCAATTTTGTCAATAAGTAAAATTATTATTTTACTCTCATTAAAATGGTGGATATTATAATATCAATAAGGAAAAAAGTTGAACTTTTGTAAATTGTGTATAATTCATAAATAATGTATAAATAATTATTAATTTTTTAAAAGATTGGGGCTATTTCAATTAATTGAATGAAAAATGGTAAATGGATTGAATTATCTGAAAATTTTTGATGGCATTCTAAAAAAAAGTATATTGAGAAACTTATTTATATAATAAAAGGATTTAAAAAAAGATAAATAAATAGTTGCAAGAATTACAACTCATAATTCTTTATAATAATTTTTAGAAAATAATTATAAATCAGGTAAAAACATGATAATAGCCATTAAATATGATGTTGAAGCAGACTGATTTTTTTTTTTTATTACTCAATCTTTAATTTATTATCATAAAAGAATCAGTTAGGATTATTTCTTTACTTCTAATTATTTTTAATTTTTGTTTTGCTATTTTTTTTTTTCTAATTCAGTCACTTTATTTGAATATTCTCGGATATATTTTTTTTAAATATCTATTTCTAATTATTATTTAATCAATTTTTCCTAAACTTATAATTTTATTGCAATTTCTTCTTCTTTTTCCTATTTTGCTTTCTATTCATATTTTTTAATCTGATGTTTTTATTCATTTTCTTTCGTTTTTTTTCATTTAATCTAATTATTCTTTATTTTTAGCCTATTATTGAACCCTATTTCTTTTATTCTTATTTATTCTTCAAATTCTAATCTCTATTATTCTTAAATCATTTATAATTGTTTAGCATACTCTTGTTCTTTCTACTTTTTAATTTCTCTTTTTATTTATTCCACATCCTTCTATTTTTCAAACTCTTAATTTTTTTTTTTTTTAATCTTCTTCCATTTTCTTTTTTATTCTTATTTAATTTTTTCTACCTCCTTCTCAAACTTTAAGTCTCTCTTCTCTTAGTATTTTTCTAATCTATCAATTTCTTTAGGGTTTTCATTATACGCTGCAATTATGACTTTCAATTATATTCTTTCCATTGAAATTTTTAAGCATCTTTTTAATTAACTCTTTTTCTTTTTTTATATGTTTAGGTTATTTAAAATTTTTAAATCTAAATCTTGTTAACTACTATTACTATTTAAGATTTTATTAAATACATTTTTTTCATTATTACCTAAGCTTAACAATTTATATTACTTTAAAATAATGTTTCTTCTGTTAACATTTCATACCAAATGACTCCCAAAGACCAAATGTCAAGAGATTTGTCATAAAAATCTTAACTTTCGGAATTCTATATAACCCCTGTTGCCATAAAATTTGCTGTTCCAACTTGAGGTGCCGTGATTTTCTTTAAAGTATAATTTACTAAACCAAAGTCAATCAATTTAATAATTTTTGATTTTTTGGCTAATTAATATCAATTAAGTTTTCTGGTTTCAAATCTCTATGAAATAATCCTAAATCATGAAGTTAATCAACACCTTTTCCCATCTAAATATAATCATATTATTTACTTAAAGAATATAAAGTTTTTTTAATCAAAATCCAATTCTTAAAAATCTTCTGTTTACATAAATTTGGAGAATACTCCATCAGCACATTCCATAGTTATTGTAAACGAAGTCAAATTTTATTATACTGCTTTTATTCCAATTATTTCAATTATATGACTTAAATACTTTCTGAAAATTGCTTAAATTGCTTTTAATTTATGTTGACTGATTCCTTTGAGTTCTTTAATAGCCACAATTTCTTTGGTTTAAATATTTTCTCCTTTATATACAATACTTTCTCTCCCTTAACCAACTTATTCTAATTTTATGTATGTAGCACCATTAAATAAATTGAATTCTGGGCAAGGTCTTCATTATTTTTTATTTTAGATTTTCCCTCTAACATTTTAAAATAACAATTTAATGAATGTTTTTTTAGAAATCATACTCACATATAAATATATCAAATAATCAAATTCTATTAAAATAAATTTATGATAATTATTATTAATTATAATCATTTAATATACTACCATTTTCAATAATATATTAAATGTATAAGTTTGAAGATGTTATTTCATAAATTTTTGGATAAAAACTAAACATAAATAAATTTGGCTTTAGTAATTATTTTAAAATTTATTTATATTAAAATAAATTATTCATCTTAATATAGCATAAATACTTATTCAATAATTCAGTGCATTTCCATAATCAGTAAAGTTCAATAGATCCACAAGATGATAATCTATCACAGTACTATAATCTAAACGAATATAGCGATGAGTATGATAAACTACACTAACAATATTTTCCTAACATGCAAAAGGTTCACAAACATTACTCAAATTTGTTACTTTACAAAATTTCTACGATACAGAACAATTGGCAAAACTGAAAAATGACTTTATTTTCTTTTTCACAACTTGAACTTGTTCATGAGTTCTTTTTTAAAGTATTTCATGTGTTTATAGAGTAGATCATAAATTTGTACTGTGCAAGAGGTTGAATTTGATAGATCATGATCTAACTTCACAACCCTCATTACTAGAACTGTTATAAGAATTGGTAGATATGATTAAAATAAAGTAAGAGGAAGTGCATAAACTATAACACAGGAGGATGTATTTTATGGGAACTCAAATTTATATTCCTGTACATATTAGAGTATTATATTATAAAAGCAA